CTGTATGTTCAGTCTGTAGAAGTGAAGAATGAACTTAAGAGATACAAGAAATAAGAAGTGGTCATATAAATTTTTTTTTCCCAAAGCCAGTGTCTATTTTTATGCAAGTTTTTCTTTTTTGTATCTTCACAAGAAATTTAGTAATTGCCTTTGAATCATCCCAAATAAATGGCAAACATTATAAAGAATCATTCTACAGGAGAATATAATGCAATGGCATATTCTACAGGAGAATATAATGCAATGGCATATTCTACAGGAGAATATAATGCAATGGCATATTTATCAAAGGACAGGATTGATTTCAGCAAAGAATGAACACATTCAGTCAGTAATATGCAGAAACTTCAATGTGAATAACCAATTGTATAATGCAGGTTTTAATTAATTAGATGATTGCAATTCTCTGCAGGCAACTCAATTTTTGCATACCAGCAGCAAAATCTCAAGGCAAAGCATTAATCTCATTTTGTAAATGTCTTCTAAGGACCTGCTAAAGTCAGCTATCAAGAAATGGAAACTTGGTGATAGCACAGGAGTACACTATTCATTAAATTACAACACTGTTGTTATTAGGTGCCATCCAGTAGGTTCTGACTCATAGTGACCCTGTGTACAACACCACAAAACACTGCCCAGTCCTGCGTCAATGTTACAATATTACATAATAATATTTAAATCCTTTCATCACAATGTTGTTGTTGTTGTTATGTGCCGTCGAGTCGGCCCCGACTCATAGCGACCCCTCCTTGGGTTTCCGAGGCAGTATCACTACGGAAGTAAAATTCTTTGATGATGTCTAAAAGGGGTATATAAATATTTTAAAACTAATCAAATATATTTTAAATATGTCACAAAAAAGTATTCAAAGATAAACTGCACAAACATCACCATCATAACAGGAGTTGCTATTTACTGAGTATTTATTATTTGCTAGGCAGGCAGTGCTATTCTGTCCTGCTGTCCTACAGGGTGGTTAGGAGTTGGAGCCAACATAACAAACAACAGCACATGATGCTAATGATATTCAGACATGATGACGACAACAGACAGTAATAGTAAGTATTTTACATACATTATCTCATTTTATATTATGAAGCAATTAGCTTCCTAAGGTTAAGTTACCTACTCTGAGTCTCACAGCTAGCAAGTGGAGGGGGGATTGGAATTCAGTTTTGTGTGAATCAAAAGGCAGGGTTCTTCTCCATTATGATCAATGCTTCTAAATCTTTGTCACATCATGGCACATGTTGAAAATGATAACATTTGTAAGGCTCACTGGAATAAACTGGAGAGGCTTGGTGAAAATATGTTTTTTTCCTATTATGAATTATGGTAAGAAAAGCAAAATACAAATTTTCCAAATAAAGTATTTTCAAATTACCAAATTCAGGAAGTTTATAAAGGGAATCATACCAAAAATGTTAAAATAACAGTTCAACTGTTTTAAAATTTTGAAAAGTTCTAAAAGATTTAAAATTTCAACACTACTAATTAGAAAATTTTCAACACTAGAAAAAATTTGCAAATAGCACACTGATAATCCATTCTATGTATTGGTATGCTGGCTGGGAAGCTTTGTGTAATGTAATTTTGCCTTTCAATAAAATATTGTGATTGAATGCAAATTTGGTATATCAAGATCTTCCCAATAACATCTAAAGAAAATTCAAAACAAAGGTATATAGCAAAAAAAAAAAAAAAAATTTATAATACTTAGCTAATTTAGTCCACACTGATTTTATTTGACTCTTTATAGTATTTACAATCTGTAACATTCATTTTGATTTAATAATAACAATGGTAGCTAATATTCACTGAGCTAGTAACTACATGCCAAACTGTGTTCTACTTCATGTCACTACCATATTTAATCCTCACAGCAATCCTATGAAGTACTTTTACCTTCTCAATTTTGAACACGAGGAAACTGAGGCAGGGAAAAATTAAGGTTATGGCTGGTAAGTGGGAATTATGCTTTCAAGCAATCTGACGTCAAAGTCCATGCTGCTAATCACAATGTTAAAAACATCCTGTGAGAACAAAAATACATTATTTACTGAGCACCTAGTATGTCCAAAGAGAGACAAGAGTAATGCAGATAGACCTCAACTGAGACTAAGTTTGATAGTTGAATACTGATAAAGTAAAAATGACTTGCATGTATAGCAAAAAGAAACATGTGTATACTGTGATGAGTAGTTTTTAAGAAGATAGTTTTAATTTTATATGTGCATCATGATATGGCTCAAGCAAGAATCTCTCTCAGCAACCTATTTAATTTGCTGATTTAACTTGCTCAAGAATGTGCACACACATACACAAACTTAAAAAAGTAAGGTGATGCTTCCTTTGCCATGAGACCATAAGAAATAGATGGTGCCTGACTACTATTACTGAACATTTTGATCTGAGAGTCTATATCAGAATACTCATCAACAGGGAGGAAATGCAAAACAATTTCAAGTTTTCATGTACTCCAGACTTCCTGCAGCCATTGAGGTTGGATGAGCCCCTAAAATTGTGTCCAGAGATAATTTTTAAAATTTAAACCAAAAGGATTCCTGAAGTCTTCTTAAAAATCAAACAAGAGTTTAGCCTAACTAGTAAAAAAAAAAAAAAAAAGTTCACCTTGAGTATTACACTCTTTTAAGAACTACCTATATGGGATCAAAGTGATGACAGCAACTCAAAAGATTAAACAGGAACTTTAGAAGATAGTGAGTTATGAGGGAGGAACAACTCAGAAAAGGAGGGTAAGAACAGCTGCACAACTTGAAGAATGTAATCTATGTCACTGAACTGTACGTGAAAAAGTCAAATTGGTTTATGTTTTGCTGTGTATATTCTCAAAAAAAATTTTTCAAATGAAGATTAAAATTAAAAACAAATGCTTTAGTACTTTTTTATTTACTGCTTTTCTAGTAGCCTAAATCATGTGTTTTGTTTTTAATTAAATGCACTATTTACAGTCCTAAACAAAGATTTTTCTAAGCATTCAAACAAGTTCTGCTTGCATAAGTTCCGCCTGCCAAACCCAGCCATTTGGAAGAAAGCCTCACAGTTTACAACTGTATTACACCAGACTAACGTTCTAAAGGGATCTCATGTTCAATGTAAACCAAAACAGTTACAGAAGATGAGACTACACCTTTAAAGTCATAACTAACCAATAACACAGAAAATGCCTGAGTGTTCTGCTTTATATCAAACATCTGAATGGCTCCAGGACCAATGTCCAACATTAGCAAGCTCATGCTGGTAAGCAGCAAATGTTTAAGGAGTACCTACTATGTGCCATGGACTGTGTATGCTCACTCACAATACTTGTTACATACCCCTTGTCACTAAGTCAATTCCAACTCATAGTGACCCCAAAGAACAGAGGAGAACTACCCCATAAGGTTCCCAAGGCTGTCTTTCTCCCACAGAACAGCTGGTGGGTTCCAACCACCAACCTACTGGCTCACAGTCAAGCACTTAACCATTGTGCTACCAGGGCTCTTTACCTGTTACAGAGACAGTGGCAATCTTGAACTAAATCTGAATTTATGCCTTCTGAACGTTCAGGTATTCAAACTGGAAGCACAAGTTCCACTGCGTAGTTTTCCCCCTACATCCAAAAAAGCTGTTTCTGGGGCTTCTACAATCAACAGATAACCAACTATGTTAACATGAAAAGACTAGCAGGTGCAACCAGCACATCCTGGAATACAAAATAAATTAAGCTTTGGGTTATGGTGATGCATTCCATCCTCTGACATTCTTTACACTATGAAAATCGGGCACTTCCCTAAAAGCAGATGCTTTTCCTCAAAAGTCAATGGTTTTAGGAAGTAAAGTTGTTCTACTGTTTACAGAAACCATCACTCCTACTTATTCTTTCCTAATGAGTCCCTAGAAAATAATAATAGTCAAGAAATGTGGCTTGATTTATTGCTAAGCTAATGCCAATTTACTAAGCCTCTAGAAGGCGGTCTCTCAAAATTTTGAAAAACTAAACCTTGCTGAGAAAAATGCATCTGACTGTACTTAAAAGCTATTTTTTAAAAATGTCTCATAACATAAACAGTAACTTCTGAAGCCAGTATTTTTTGTTTGAAGAAATCAAAAAAGAAAAAACAGCTCACCAGCGTTCTGTCACAGCCTGTATTAGTATGTTCAATTTCTTAACTGACCATACATAATTCCTTCATTCTTACAGCACATCATCACTACCAACTAGTCAGCAACTCCCAATACATAATCTATCGTCCACTACCTCTTTTCCCACCCATCTCAAGCAAACCATTCTTTATTATTTCCTCACCTCTCCACTCCCTCCCTTTATAAAAACAGGGGAAGGGTTTATAAAACTAAAAAGAGTAAGAGTGATAGGAAACGGGAGAAAAGTATAAAGACAACGTGCAACCAAGCTTTTTTCCGTTCATACCTGGTAACTTGTCACCCACTTTTATGTTCCTGGATAACCGAGGTTTCCTCCACTTTATCAACGGTTCGAAATCTCCACTCTCTAATGACAAGGTCCTTATGTGACCACTCTGTCCCAGTCTCTCTATATTAATCAAGTCTCCCAGCTCTACCCTACCATAAAGTATCACCAACTCTCCAAACTCACAAACCATCTTACAAACCCAACCAACACACTGCAAATCCATACAAAGCTTTCCTGAATATCAGCTCTTCTTTTATGAGTATTTCCTCTATTCTTAACATAGTGTCGTTATGCTACCGTAGCTCCACTCCCAAGCTCTTTGCTGAACGCATTTTCAGCCCCGAGTCACACCCTCAACAGCCTTATTTCCTACAAATCCAAACCCCACCCCCTCATCACGCCCTCTAAGGGCCTGAGACACCTACCCAAACACTCCTCCCCAAGCCCGTCACGCCTTCAAGATTTCTTTGGGGTCCTTTACACCAGCCCGGTCTGACCCCCGCCAGACTTCCCAAGTGCCTAGGGCCTCCCAACCATCCCGCTGGCCCCGCCTACAGCCCCATACCGAGCAGCAGCAGCTTTACTTCTTTGGCCGCTTTCTCCCCATCCTCCCGCAAGTTGCGGTCGATCATCTTGCTCCGTTCCACCGCCGCCTTGTCTTCGGCGCTCAACGTGCAGCCCATGGCGGCGGCGGTAGAGGGGGCCGAATCCGGGCTCACTCACACACCACGGCGACTGTGGCACGGGCGGCTGAGACAGCGTCTACTGCTGGGCGGCGTCCCTCTCCGTCAGCTCCCGGGGCGCCCAAAGAAACAGGATATCCGGCATTTACGACACTTCCAGTGACGCCCTACGGCCGGCATCTCTCAAATCCCTGTTAGCTCTGAAAGAGGAGGTGCGCCCAAAAGCGGAAGTACCGAGAAGGGGGCCTTGGGCGGTGGTTCTGCGGGGTTGCAAGGTGCTTTTCAAGCTCGGTGCGCGCTTCCTGCCTGTCCTTAGTGTCTTTCTCCTTTCGTCTGCCTTTTCTCCTTTTACATTATTTGAATAAATGTAGAAAAACCGGGACCTGGCTTCTCCAGCTCATGGCACCTTCCTGAGTTCACTAAGACGGGTTTGGACTGGGCCAGGAAGGTGGGAGAGATTCTCGGATAAAAGCCCACAGCCCGCATTGGAGGCTCTACTTGGTGCAAGCCAAGTGAGCCTTGGATCACGGTTGTGGAACCCTAGGCCCCTCCCCAAGTGTATGACACTCTCCGCAAAGGTCGTCTCTGCAGGATTTATGGAATGGGAAGAAACTGTCCAGCCCGGCCCTTGGCCACACCTAACATCTTAGATCTAACACAGCCCATGCACAGGACTTTAGCGATCGGCGTCTGCCCTCTCCTCTGGCCCACCACCTCCTGCTCTCTAAATACATCCTGATCGTTGTGCCATTACTACGAGGGTCTATAGACTTGGGACTTGCCCAGTTTCTTCGTTATCAGTGGACCACTTTGAATCGTTAGCAGAGAGCCTGTAACCTGAAAGTTAAGCATGTAGTTCCTCTTCTATAAAATTTTCATGCTGCCCTCTCCAATATAAGACAATTTTAGCTTTTATTGATCATCAATGGTTAGGGGCTTAAGACTTCTACTAAGATTAGTCAACTTCAGTCCCACCCCCAAAAAACAAACCGGTGCATCTATGAATCTCCCAACTTCACTGTATGGTACCACACAAAAAGGGAAGTTTAGGAATATTCGCCTCTCAGCTCTAGCATCACCTAAAAATTAGTAAATTCCTGTAAAAGCCCCAGACTAATACCCTCTTTCATTGATAACCCTGGATACTAGATGAAAGCAGCCTTAATTTCTTACTGCCAAATACCCCACAAATACCCTCACCATACAGTCTAGGGAAAAAAACTCTTGTGGCCCCAAAAATCTTTCCCTGTGATTAAAAATTATTTAATTACCCTAATAGTATCTAAGCAAATCTAAGGTTCACAACAGAAAGGCCTTTAATTAGACCAATTTCTTGAGAGCCACATTAATCTTAACTCACCAAAACTCTTATCAATGCCAATTCTTCAAAGTTTGAAGGGTCTCCCATTCTCAAATGACTGTTAGGATGACCATAATCAGTATTTCTGGGGAAAAAGGGCAAGAGGAAAAGGAAGAAAAACCAATATTTATTGAGTACCTATTTGCCAGGTACAGCTAGGTTCTTCCATGTGTCATCTCTTTCAATCCTCACAACAACCCTGTGAGGTAGGTAAAATATCCCCATTTTTACAGATGAGGAAATAGGCTCAGAGAAATTAAGCAGCTTTTCCAAGTTCACAGTGGGTGAGTAGATCTATCTAAGTCCAAATTTACCCCATTTCTACTATGTCCCAAAGGGATATTTCTACCATGTCCCAAAGGCCTGGGGAGACCTGACAACAGAGGGTCTAAAGTTTTTATCTAAGGTTGGGAGTTACCCAGCACCACCAGGATGCAAGGGGGAAAAGTAAATGACAGAATAGTTCCCAACTTGTTGATTCTTGTGGATTAGGGAGTTGAGGTTTTGTCCAGGAACAGTTTTCAGAGCTAAGGAGTACGTATTGAACTTTACCAAGCCATCCTGGTACCTAGAAAATTCCTGGAAGGTGGTCATGGAAGAAATTGTTGAGAATGTTCTCAGAACTATAGAAGATAAATTTTTATTTCTTTCACGATTCACTCAGGGAAAAATAAATGACAGTGAACCCGTGTATGTCAAACTGTGTAATAAACACCAGTGGGATGACAGTGTCAGGAGATTTCAGCCTGAATTAGAGAGATCCTTGTGCTTAAAACTCTCTCGTTTGATGTATGAAAGGTTGGAGGGTAAAGCCAGAGGAAAGGGCAGAATAAATTAACAAAATGGCTGCCAGGGAATGTTAAATCTCCACTTCACCCCCACCCCCACCCTTACCTCACACCTACCTCACCCCCACTCCCACCCCACCCCCTCCTTACCCCCATAACCGCCCCCCCACACACACACACAGAGAGACCTCTTTCTTATTTCAACTGGACTCATACTGCCACCTGCTGGCAATGCTTAGGATCTACTAGCTGAAGAGTGGGGTTTGGAAATGATTTTTTCCCTCATCTAGGAATGAGACTCCTCCGTATGATTTTATCTTAAAACAGAGGAGAGAGAGGAGTACAAACATGTTTTTCAATCACAAAGGACTCTCCTCACTGCATATATTACTTTTATAAGGTATTTTCTCAGTGTAATAGTCACTAGACTGGAGTAATAAGTGGTAGGAAGACAGAAACCTGGAAGTTTTTCTAGATGAAGTGGAAGAAAGCTATGCTTGCCCAGTTCGATTTAACAAATCATTTTTTTCCACTAGACAATTTCCTTTTACAGCCCCCACTCTTTCCACAATATGTAGGAAGCCTTTATTTCTGCAATAGATTGAACTCTCAGAAGTTATCACCATGATTATATTCTCCAATAAATTTCTCAAATATTTTCTGTGGTGCTTTACCAGCTGTAAGTGCTCTATAAATACAAAGCATCTGATCACATTGGACTGTGGACTGCTTGAAAGCAGTGACCAGACATCCTTTGTGTGGGCCCCAGAGAATAGTGGTATTCAACTAGTGTGCACTGAATTGAACTGAAGGAGTCAATGTTGATATCAGTATAACATTTTGTAATAAAATTATTTATTGGCTGTTAAAAGGGGAAACTATCCCACTCCCACCAGCCCATTTTCCCCTTTGATGCTCAATGAGCTAGGCATTTGTTCAAATACAGACTGCACCACTCCCTGGTCCTGCCTTGACTCTTGTGTGTCACCTGACTTAACTGAGGGAAGTGGAATAGACAGGTAATCCCAGATGGATGTCCTGTCTACTTTGCTAATATTCCCTCTCCCTTGAAAATTTGCTTGGTCCATGCCTTGGCCACCAATACCAAATAACACAGTTCCTCCAGTCTCAATTAGTAAACAGTTGAGCCCAACTCCTGTGCCCTCTCTCCAACAGGGCTGTAAATAGGAGAGAAATTTAAGTCTTTTTCACTGAAGCTAATTTTGAGAGCGATGAATAGGAGTAGAGAGGCATTTAGTGGACCATGGAAACCCCACCTTTCCCATGCCCAACCTTAGTCTCTTGTACCCGATTGTCCAGGGGGCTGAAGGTGGGTCACTGCCATGAGGAGAGAGATCAGGGAGGCCAATCCTGGAAGGAAAAGATTATCGATATTATTGATCAGACCTCTCCGTACCCAGCCACCTTAACAATTCAAATGCTAATCCCTGCCCTCAGCCATCCCACCCCCAATCTTTCCAGTTCTTCGTTCTAAAAGGGATAAAAATCTATCTTATGTTATTGCTGCCTCTGCTGAGATCAAGCCCCAAGCTTGATCACCCATGTGCAGGAGAGACAGGAAAATCGAGCAGAAGGGCTGCTCCTGAAGAGTGGGAGAGAGAGAGCCGCAGCTCTCTCAGCTTTCCTGTCTTCTGCTCCATGTACTCTGACTGCTACTTCCCTTTGCTTCTGGCCAAACTCAGATAACTAACTGTGTTAGGAAAAAATATACCCAGCTCATCCTCTCACTTTAAGGAAATCTCAGGAACAAAACTAGAAACAAAAAAAAAAATCTATTAACTCAAATGAAAACACTTGGCTATAATTTATTCTTTTTAAACCTAGCAAAAAGTGGTGGCACAGTGGTTAAATGATGACTGCTACTGAAGAAGTCAGTGGTTTGATGCACCATCCACTCCATGAGAGAAAGATGTGGCAGTCTACTTCCACAAAGATGACAACTTGGAAACCCAATGGGGCAGTTCTACTGTGTCCTATAGTGTTGCTATGAGTCAGAATCGACTTTTTTGACGGCCATGGATTTGTTTTTTTTTTTGGTTTTAAATCTACCAAGGCAATGAGAAGGCATGGGTTGTTTTCTTAACTTGCATTTAGTGCCCTGGACAATTATATTGGAAACTAAAATATCCCAAATGGCCCCAGAACAACACCAAATCTGACCTACTGCCCTGTATCTTCCAACTCCTACCCTTAGAGAGTTTCCTTGCTTGCTGTGGCATGGAAAGGAAAGGTCACTGGTTAAAAGGCTTCATTTCACCTTTGTGACCCTTTTATCTCGTCACCATCTCACCATACCCAGGTTCCCTCCCCCAGTAGTCATGGATCACAGCCAAGTACAAGGCTCTTGTCATACGTCCATCAGGTTGACTCTATTCTTGACCCAGGAAATGCTAAGCAAAAGCTGTGTGCAGAGACCCCAGTCCCAGCCCCAGACAGCTGTAAATGGCAATTCCACAAGGTGGTCTTTGCAATTATAACCGGCCCCCAGCTCCATCTCCCTCTGAGTGTCCAGCAGCCCCTCATGATTCCAGCCGAGGTGAGGGGGCACGATGGAGGTAGCTGTCCGACATGATGATGTCGCTGGTAAGTTGCTGCTCTAGGAACTCAGAAGTCTCCTCAGCTATCTGGCCTGGAATTCGAAAGTCAACAGCAGGTGGTTCCTGCTTGGGGCTGGGAAGGGGTCGGGAAACCCAGGACTCGGTGGGACAGCCAGTTCCCTGAAGGAACTGCAGGAAGTTCTCCTCGATTGAACCCTCCCGGCTAGGCAGCCTCAGTTCTTCCTCTGGAGCTGGTTTGAAGAAGCAGACAAACTGCTTGCTGAGCTCCCCCCGGATCTGCCGGTTGAGACATCCATAGAAGAAAGGGTTGGAAGTGAAGCAGAAGTAGCCAATCCAGGTGACCACACTCTCTACCTGCCCAGTTGAAATGGGCTGAGCACTCAGGGCAACGTAGAGGTGGAAAGAGAAGTAGGGCAACCAACAGAGCAGGAACTGACCCCCCACAGCCAGGAGGATCACTGCTGCCTTCCCTCCCCCAAACGTCCGGTGCGGGGTAGTCTGGGGGGCCCCCAAGCTGGTGACCATAGTGGAACGGCTGCTGAGGGACTCCGAACGTTGCCGGGGTGTCTCCATCCATGTGGGCAGGGGCCCATGCTGCATGGCAGCCACACGAGCCACTCGGAACATGCTGCAGTAGACCACGAGGATGAGGAGCAGAGGCAACAAGAAGTAAAGGACAGCAAAGACCACCACAAAAAGCTGGCAGTAGGCACTGCGACTCCATTGGAGCGAGCAGCCTGGGGGGATGCTGGGAGCTCCTTCCTCCCAAGAGACCCTTCCCAACACAGGCACAGAAGCCATGGCCAAGGCCTTCACCCACACGCCCACCAGCACAGAAGCCACCAGCCCCAGTGTCATGCGCACTTCGTAGCGCATGGGGTGGACCACGTAATAGTAGCGCTCCACATTGATGGCTGACACTGAGAGGATGGCCAGGCTGACAAAGCACATGCTCAGAAACAAGTAGAGGCGGCAGGCGACCTCCCCAAAGAGGTCATGGTCAAAGAGGGCAGAGCTAGAGAGCATGGCTAGAGGCATGAGGGTCAGGGCTGCCAGTAGGTCCACCAGGCAGAGGTGGAAGACGAAGACAAATTTTCGGAGAGCAGGCGTCTTAGCAATTACAGCCATCACAGCGCCGTTGCCAGCCACAGCGGTCAGATCCAGCAGGAGCATGAAGAAGAGGGCCACGGATTCTGAAGCCACATCCCTCAGTCCCACCTCTGGGACTCCACTGGCCGTAGAGGGGCCTGGGGTTTGAGGGACCCTCCCCAAATTGGAAGAGTTCCCTGATGACTGGGGGATGGGTGAGGACTCCATGGGGCCGAAAGAGGACACCCAGGGCACCTCCTGTCACAGGCCCATCCCCCATCCTAGTCCAGCGACCCTGGGATGGCGAGCCCAGGCCCAGGCTTCCCAAGTTCGTGGTGGGCACCTCCTGCTGGAGCCTCTCTGGCAGGCTCTTATGGCCAGCCTGCCTGGCTGGGCTCTTCCAGACACAGAGCGCCAGGCCAGGCAGCTGAAGGCTCAGGAGTTCATTTTCCCTTTCTGGCCAGAGGTGGCTCTGGGGTCTGGCTAGGTGCCTGCAAAGAAGCAGGAGACATGATTGATATGGGAGCCCCTTCCCTCAGCGCTCCACCTTCTGAGTGGTCTCTGACTTCTTTTCCAGTTCTTTTCTTCTGTCCTCCATGCCCTTCCCCCCTTTCAAGGACTGTTATCCAGGGATTTCTCAATCTTTTGTCTCCCTTCCCCAGGGTTCTCCTGAGTTCTGAGATAGTGGCTGCGTTTTCAGTAGTTTATGTAAATTTCCTGATTTCTTGTCTCCTCAGAACTGCAGCGGCTGTTCTTGAACCCAAGGAGCACAACATTTGGTTTCTAGCCCCAGGTCTGGGAATGACTAACTCTGTGACTCTTCTCAACTTCAGTTTCCTCACAAAGGGATCTGTAAAATGAAGGGAACAATACCTACTTCACAACTGTGTTTGGAGAATCCTGTGAGTTCTATTAATAATAGTAATTGTAATAATAAGCAGTAATGTGTATATGGTGCTTGCTAAACACTCTACATATATTAACATTCTCACAGCAACCCTATGAGATAAATATTATTCTTATCTCCATTTTACAAGTGATCAGACAGATGTAGAGAAGTTATGAACTTACCCAAGGGCACACAGCTAGTAAGTGGCAAGGTCTGGGCATACACCCAGGCAATCTGGCTCCAGGACCAATACTCTTGCCCTTTGTGCCATGCTGGGCGTGAAGCTGCCCTCCATTGTGGCTGGAATGTAATAGACACTCCATAAATATTGTTGAATTTGAACCGACTCTAAAGATGTCTTTCATTGCTCTAGGGCTACCACTGGGAGAGATCACCTGCAAAGGGTCCTTTAGCCTTCTCTGACACAACCTCTCCCCCACTACCAAGCACAAAGGGCTGCCACTTTGGACTGCTGGCACGTAGAGAAGGACAGAAAACAAAATATCCCAGTTGGAAGTTATCTGGGAGGCCAATTCCTCCAACCTCTACTGTCCCACAGGCAGAAGGGCAGAAGCCACTTTAAAATTACCCTTCTCCACCCACTCACAAACTTCTCCCAGCCACTGTGCCCCTTCAGGTAAGAGAGGAGTGCTCTCAGCTTCCTGCTCCCCAGCTCCCCAGGTCTCTGGTCTTTGGAGGATCTTTGCCCAAAGCCTTCTTACTCCTGGAGAGAGATGGAGCAGGAGGCTGTGTTACCACAACCACAGAGCAAGGAGAGGGGGAGTAGGCATCTATGTAAGAGAGTGAGTACGTGTGAGAGTGGGCAGATGACTGCTATCCTGGAAGTGGGTAAGCAGAAAGCAGAGAAAAAAACTGAAAGGAATTGGGAGAAAGGAGTTTCAGCACCTCTCATTTCTCCTAAGCTGAGATGACTCTGGGGTATCTCATTATCCATGCTGAGTTTGCATTTTTATGCAAATGACATGCACGTTATATGACATTTTCAAACCACACAAGCCCCTCAAGCAGTAGCTTCCTGTGTGTGCTATTTGTGCTGCAACATGTGCACTCTATTTCCATGGGTGCATTATATGTGAAAAATATGGTAATCGAAATAAGGTACCCAATGTAACTTAAAATATTATTTCATTTCCATATTCTGCTCCTGCAGTTAAGTCTCCCTAAGTATATATAGTTATATACTATATATATATTTGCATACCTTAAAAAGGTATGCAAATTATAGGCCTTTCTCTAGACAGGTCACAAGTTCCCTGGGCCACAGTTTCTTCATCTGTGAAGTGGGAGTGAGGGATGTGTTGGGCTAGAAGACCTCTAATGTTCCTACACATGATAACATTTGATGAAATATGAAACTCTGTGAGTTTCTGGGCCACACAAGGCATGGTGATTATTCTGTTTAAAAACGCATCATTTCTGACTGTAATAAAGAGGACATGTGGGGCAGATGGGTCCCATACCCTGCTCAGTACAATCATCCCTGGTTTTTGGTGTTACCACCAACTTTGCACTAGTCTATGTTCTAGCATGCTATGCATGCAATAGGTGCTCAGTACAATTTTGTGAATTGAAACAAACTCAAATCGATCAGGTGAATTCCAGCCCCCAGGATATATTCCAAGAAAATTCAGTTATTCAGCTATGTGCCAGCCAGGGGACTTTCTTCTGGAAAGGGTAACCCAGGCTCCAGGACTCAAGACAGCCCTAAGTTTGGGAGATATGCCTCTCTCCAGGGAGAATAGAAACTCATTTCACAGTTAAAATGGCCATATAGACCCTGAGTCTAAAGAGAAGAAGAAAGGGTCCAGAAGTGGATACATCAGCTTCTCATAGTACAGTCTACCAGGAAAAATGCCAGAAAGAAATACCAGGGGCAACATTCTTGCCCCTAATTCCCCATGCCACAATTTACCCATCTCTTCCACCTGTGAGTGGAGCCCAGAAGATGTGGCTCTGAGGCCCTGGTAGCTGTTGTCACCAGCACTGCCCAGCTCAAGAGGAGAGAGAGGGCCACCATGTCTGGATGGACATCAAAGAGCTTGATGTAGCAGGGCCCAAGCAGGGTCCCAGACCGAGGGAAGCAGACATGGTTCCCACGTGGAGATGAAGAGGTGTCGTGCAGCCATGATGGAGCCTAGGCAAGAAGGTATTGGACAGTTCTCGTTTTCATAGCCCCCTCAGTCTAGCCAGTATCTTGTTAGTATCCACACTGACACCTAAATTCCAAAATTCCAATTAACCTCCTAATAGAGAGAACAATATAGCAGGCTTCTCAGTCCTCACTGATGGACTGTGGTTATGGAGGGGAGGGCCATGGTGTAACGGTGTCATAGGGGAGAACCCAGGGAGCCTCCTCCAGCTCATCATCATGTCTTCTACCCAACAGATGCTCCCATCCCCCCACTGCTTCCTCCCAACTACCCTCTCCCACACTTAGTACCTGGCTTTGCCATCATAGGGCTGAGGGCTAGGCCTCTAGCAGAGACATGGTCAAGTTACAAATATCTTGGTTTCAGGGTGCAAGACGGGCTTGCCCCAGAGTACATAAGTGCTCAGCTCAAGGCCACAAGGGTGTCGATGGGATTCACATGCACCTGTTTTCCAGATATAGAGCATCTGTCCCAAGGACCCAAGCCCGGCTTTTCCTTCAGACAAGAGCATGCCTCTCCTAAGCCCTGAATGATGCCTGCCTAACAAGCTACAACACCTCTTCCCAGGAGAGTTGCCCACGCCCAGGACAGAGTTGCCCATTGGCCTGGATGCCAAAGAACCCATTCCTAGGATGTAAGAGACCCATCCCTATGACACAGAGCAAGATAGATGGAGAACCTGTCTGTCTGCAGGATATGGGTACTTCTGCTGGCAGGGGATCACCTCCCCCCATCTCCAGGCTTCAGAGATGCCTACACCCCAGTACTGCCTCTGGGATACCTGGGAGCCCATGCACTGACAAAACTGCCCACCATAAGGTGTGATGGGCTGGTCTTTGGCATGCAAAACTACCCCTCTATAGGGTACCTCAGCATTCAACACCAGGCCTTGGGTCTGGTCCTCATTCCTGGCCTAGCTGACAACTCCTACCTTTGCTGAGCAGCTCCCGGTTCCCATGTGATAGCTCCTCTCAGCTGATGCTTCTCCAAGGCTGCTGAAGCCTGAACCACTGCAGTGAGCGGTGAGAGGCAGCAGGCAGGGCTGGATGCTTCGAGAGCTTCTGGGTCCTAATGGCCTCCTACTTCCCACCCAGCCCTTTGGAACCACTTCTGGAGCAGAGAACCAGGCACTAGTACCCCAGGCAAGACACCCAGAAGTGGGCACAGCCTTTCTTACTTTCCTTAGGTTGCTAGAGTGGTATCTCAAAAGTCCAGTGAGGCCAGGTGATGGTGGGAAGGGAGGACCCTCCTGGCCAGCCTGATGAAGTAAAAAGAACACTCAGCATTAGAAAATGCAGGTTCAGGGCCTGGTGTTGGTACTAACTAGCTGTGTGATCTTGGGAAAGTCACTTCTTGTTTCTGGCCTTGGTTTTCTTATCTGTTCAAACAGTACATGTTATTGTTATGTGTTGTCGAGTTGGACCCAACTCATAGCGACCTCTCCTTGGGTTTCTGAGGTGGTATCACTATGGAAGTAGATTGCCCAACCTTCCTTCCGAGGAGTGGCTGGTAGGTTTGAACCACCAGCCTTCTGGTTAGCAGTCAAGTGGCTTAGGCACTACGCTACCAGAGCAGTCCATAGGGAAAATAATTCCCAGGGTTCCTTCGAGCTCTGCCATTGCATGGTGCTGTGGGACATGGCAACTAAGGGGCTCTTGTAGCAGACAGGTCAGTGCTGACACAGGGCTCCAGGATTAGGCTTGGCAGAGGCTGAGGCTCCAAGGGATGGTCCAAAATTTGGCTCTTTGGACGGCTGCTGAATGTATATAGAGGATAGGTTTAGGAGTGGCAGATGGATTTAAAATGGAACTAAAGGACTTGTCTTGACTCTACCTTTGCACCTCCCACCCCCCTAAAAAGCACATTATTATTATTTTCTTGGATTGTATGTTTATATGTGGGGGCTGGTGGCGATGGAGGGATGTAATATCCCACTGAGCCACCCTTTGGCAACACTGCAACACTGTCCCTAAAGGCCGAATGGGAGCCAGGTCACCAGGAAGGTGCAGATTGGTCTGGATTTGGTACTGGACAGAGCAGGGGAGATCATCCTTGGAGGGTCCAAGGCTATGTGATGGGCCTCCTCTATCAAAACCAGACACCCCCACACACTTCCACCTTTGAAGGTGAGATGAAAGAGCATAGCCTCCCACTAGCTGTGAATACAACATCAGTTCCTCTGGGAATGGGCAACCTTCATGGCTGCTTCCCCCGTAGATGAGATCACAACATTGTAGAGTGTGAGCATCCTGCAATCCAAGGCATCCACATTTCTGAGTCCTGTGGAGGTGAAAGGAGCTCTAGTAGCACAGTGCCTAAAGCCTTTGACTGCTAACCAGAAGGTTGGTGGTTCAAACCACCATCTGCTCCATGGAAGGAAGATGGAGCAATCTACTTCCAACCGCTGTGAGTTGGAAATTGACTTGATGGCAGTGAGATTGGTTTTTGGTGGGAGAGGCAGAGAGATTCCTCAAAACCACATAGCTCCAGGAGGCAGAGCCTTGAGCCTACATTCGTACTTCAGGCATGATTCTCAGACTAGAGTCTTCAGCCCTAAGACTTACCTACCCAGGAATGCCTTTGGTCTCCAAAAAAAAAAAAAAGAAGAAGAAGAAAAGGAGTTCTGGAATTGTTTACCACACAATTGTTTATCAACCAAAAAGCCATGAGAATAATGAATCTCCAGAGAACTCAGAGGGGGTAAGTTGGTGCCCTGTGCCTCAGGTCAACAACAGAGGCCACTGACCTGCCCAAAGCTGATGCAGTGATCTGTACCATCCCCAGCCCCCCATTTATTGAGCTCTTACAAGTGCCAGGCACTTTACATACAGTATCCTCAATTGCCTCACATCAATTCTATTAGGCAACCATTACTTGCCCTATTTTATAATAAGGAAACTAGAGTTCAAGAGGTGATGTGATTCCACCAGACCACATAGCGAGCTAGTAAGTGCCAGAGCTGATATTTCAACCCAGGTCTGTTTAAAGCCAAAACATATGCACCTTCCTCACATCTCTGAGGCCTCTCTGACAACCTAATATGAAGCTCTGGGCTTAAGCCCTAAAGCCAGTTCCATAGACGTAGCCTCTGCTCCCTCCACCCCTGCCCTCGGAAACAGCTTAAAACAGACAACAACATTAGATACACCTAAGTACAGGGGAGGAGCTCTGGTAGCATAGTGCCTAAGGCACTTGACTGCTGACCAGAAGGCTGGCGGTTCAAACCCACCAGCCACTCCTTGGAAGGAAGATGGGACAATCTACTTCTGTAGTGATACTGCCTCGGAAACCCAAGGAGGGGTCGTTATGCGTTGGGTCTGACTCGACGGCACACAACAACAAGTACAGGGGAATCAAATGGAGATGTCAAATTAAAAACCCATAGGCAGTCCAGTGATTTTAATCAAACCTTATGCTGTTTTGTTGGCAAGATAATCTAGGGACCAGTCAACTCTCTGGGATCAGATAAAGCTTGCCCTTTCTTGATACCCACATCCTTCCTGCAGGGGCCCAGCCCAGACTGACCTAACCCCTTCCAAGGAATTCAGAAAGAACCAGAGCAGAATTGGGCTCACATGGAACAGGATTCTACAAAGAGCACTGGGTGAGGAGTCTGAAAACCTTGCTTCTAGTTTGGCTGCGCTGCACTGGTTCATGGGAAGAACTTCTTGACATGTGGATTGACCATCTATGCCTTTGTTTTTATATCGCTAAAATGAGCAAAATTCTTTACTCCTCAGCTAATATAATGTAATAGATGGGGAGCCTACAATACGGACAGTCTGCTTCTTAGTCTTGAGGAAGCTAGGGAAGTACCATGACTGGCCAAAACGGTGTTTTACTAGCTGTGTGATCTTGGGAAAGTCACTTCTTGTTTATGGCTTTGGTATTCTTATCTGTTCAAACAGTCTATAGGGAAGATAATTCCCAGGGTTCCTTTGAGCTCTAGCATTGCATGGTGCTGTGGGACATCACAACCAAGGGGCTTTTATAGCAGACAGGTCAGTGCTGACACAGCCAATGGGAGAGGTCTGCAGGCCCTGAGCCCCTTCAAGAGAGTCATTGAGGAAGGTGGCACTAAGGAGGCGGAGGACCCTAGAACATCCTCTCAATTTCTGAAAGCCATCTTGGCTCAGGAGAGGGAGTGGGGGCACTGCCTCTCCCGGCTTGGACAATATCTACTAGGTCTCGAGAATCCACTCTTGGGAGGCACTTTATATGCTGTATCTCATTAAATTATCTCAATCAGGATTTCTCCACTTAAAAAAACAAAACAAAACAAAAAAAAACACTGTCATCAAGTCAGATTCAACTCATAGTGACCCTCCTTGGGTTTCCTAGGCATTATCTCTATGGAAGTAGATTGCTCAACCTTCCTTCTGAGGAGTGGCTGGTGGGTTTGAGCTACCAGCCTTCTGGTTAGCAGTTAAATGCCTTAAGCACTATGTCACTACACCCTGCCAATCCCTACTTTCTGAGCTTTGCACAATGGAAAAGGTGGGAAGACAAAGGTGGAGAAACTGGGTGTAGTCCCATAAACCACGTCAGAGATCCAGGGCCCCTCAGTGCTGCATACACACCCAGGAGGGGCCTCTTGTTGTAGGGTGAGGCCCAGCCCACCTCCTAGCAGCAGCACCCCTCTCCTCAGTGTCACAAAATGGGACCCTTGCTGCTTAGAACTAATTCTCTACCCCAGACTTGCTCCTTGGTGCAGCCCTGCCTCTATTCCTTCCCTGCATTTGACCAGCAGCCCCTCTTGACAAGGTTATGTCCACTCCACCCACTCACTTTTTCCTGCCCTAGGATGAGACCTACAAGCCAGCTAAGTTGATCTTTCGTTCACCCATCCACTTACTCCATAAATGTCTGCTGAATGATTTCATGCTTCCACAGCCCTTCCTAAAACCCCTTGCCTGCTTGTTGATACCCACTGCCCTCTGTCTATGCTTTCTCCACCTTCTGTCAAAACCTACTCTCAGAAAAGTGGCTGATAAATCTATTTGCACAGATAGCAGCTTAATGTATTATCTCTCCCAGGAATATTAACAATTTAGCAGGGAACAAAGGGAAGGACCCCGAATGTGGGAACTCCAGCATCAACCAGGGTGCCTCTGAGATCCCACTCTATAGGCCTCCTCCTCAGCTGTCCGCTCCCAGTTTGGCCCATCTATCCCCTAGGAGGGCAGCATCGCATCCTCCCTCCTTCTCCGACTACATGTACACCCACCTCCCCATCAGAGAGCAGCTCACAGCTAGGACCTCCCACCAAAGCTCAGCTCCAGGCTGTCCAGAGCCCCCACTCCAGCATCAGCCAAGCCTGTCCCTTGGGCGCCCACCTCCCCCTGCCCACCATCTGGGAGCCAGGCTGAGGGACGGAGGATGGAGGCGGAGACAAGCAGAGGTGAGAGCCTTTCCATTCTTTATTCTCCCACAGTCTGGCCCACACCCCCTGCCAGGAACCAAGATCCAACAGTATATTCAGTCTGCAGCTGCCACTGGTCATGTGAGCCCATTGCTAGGTTACAGGGACCCAAAAATAAATCCTTCCCAACCAGATTAGAAACTGGGGGCCTCGGATGAACCAGGCTGAAAAGAGAGGCAGGGACACCCACAGTGCATGTACAGGCCAGGCCTGCTCTGGACTGAGGACTTCCTCCACGTGGGCCCCCACCCCATCCATCAACTGGGCTCAGTGCTGGACCCCCAAAGAAAAATTCCCAGACAGCTGCTGGGTCTTTGATAACAATAAATAGGTCTACAGGCTGAGTGGGCTTCCTCCCTAGCAACCAGGGACTGCTCGGCAATGGCTAGTCTTCCCATCCAACACTTCAATGGTCCAAGGTTCCTCTGTGTACCTGGCCCCCAGTGTACTGGCAAAGCAACATCAACTATTAGCCCTGTGGCCTGTGGGGCAATCTGTACCAGTCATCCTTCTCTGGACTCAAGAAGGGAGATCCAACAGTAGACATAGTATTGGACACTTCCACAACTTGCTTCACACTTTTTCAATAACT